AATCGTCGTCGTCCGCGATCGCGATAAAATCATGAACAATTCCCGCGGCCGTGTAGACATCATCATTGACTCCCACGGCCACGGAAACGTCATCGGCGTCTCCCGCGGTCACGGAAACGTCATCGTCATCTCCTGCGGTCACGGAAACGTCATCGTTGACTCTCGTGGTCACGGAAACGTTATCGTCGTCTCCCGCGGTCACGGTAACGTTATCGTCGTCTCCCGCGGTCACGGTAACGTTATCGTCGTCCCCAGCGGTCACGGTAACGTTATCGTCGTCCCCAGCGGTCACGGTAACGTTATCGTCGTCCCCAGCGGTCACGGAAACGTTATCGTCGTCCCCAGCGGTCACGGAAACGTAATCGTCGTCGTTCGCGATCGCGATAAAATCATGAACAATTCCCGCGGCCGAGCAGATATCATCGTCGTCTCCCGCGGTCACGGAAACGTCATCGTTGTCTCCCGTGGTCACGGAAACGTCATCGTCATCTCCCGCGGTCACGGAAACGTCATCGTCGTCGTCCACTATCGCAGCAAAATCGTGAACATTTCCCGAAGCCGTGTAGACATCATCATCGGCTTTCGCGGTTACGTAAACGCAAGACGACGATCGCGGCAAAATCATGAAAATTCCCGACTTTGAAATCAAATTTAAGACTAAATCCCGACTTTTCAAGACCATTTTGAAATTCAATACTAATTCCCGACTTTTCCGATTTTCCCGACTACTAGACACCCTGTGTAATTCTCGGTTCATCAAGGTTCTACTGAATTATGTTTGGCAGTGAATAAGTGTAGAATGCAATTTATAAATTCAGGGATACACACCTTTTACACAGTTATAAAGTCTAATTTAATTGCCCAACATCAAATCGTGAGCTAGAGCCCATCTTAGTGCATTAGTGATGTTTTCTAAACTTGGCAAACCCGCAAAATGCCACTTAAGGCCAATAATCCGTTCCAAAAACGTAAGGAAATACAATGTGAAAACTTGAGATCGAACTCCTTGGCTTGTGAGAACCAGGAATCAAGATAAAACATAACCTCAAGTAAACAAGCCCAAACGTTTGACATCAGTCCTGCTGAGCTAAGGTGTTGTGTGAAGATTTTGGCTGCTAGTGTACTTAATTCAAGCAACCAACTTTTGAAAATAAATGTTGTGAATTGTGATTTTCAAGAGAGAGAAAACTGTGGACTTGGCTAATTTGAAATTCTATAGTTCAAAATCGTCATTTAAGTTTATTTACACAGCTTTACATTGTTTTATAGGTTAAAAATACATATGCAGCTTATTATTAACCGCGCCGAACTATCCGAATCCGAGCCTCCCAATATCCGATCCGATCCGAATCGAGCCTCAACTATCCAATCCGAATCCGATCCGAAATGAAATTTCACTATCCGCACACCTCTAGTTACAATTAATTATTATCCCTGTAACCGATTCAGTGTAACATCTGACATCAGTCAGAATCAAGGTCGATTCACACATATCAGTTCAGTCACAGTTCCGTTACTGTCCAGTTACAGTTCAGTCTCAGTTGCATCCACAATTTCTCAATCAATTAATTTTACCTAATATTTACAGTAATTTACAGTCCAAATTTTTTTATTATAAACCTATATTCTATCAAATTATCATTGTCCATCTTGTTGATTGTTACAAACAGTACTCAAAATATAAACACAACCATTTAAATAACAATAACACTTTTTTCTAACCTCAAACAGTTCCATCAGTCGTCCGAACAATCCAAAAATATCGGTGAAAAGAAATCTGAAATTGACTGACGGACGCCTGCAGAGCTACTAACGGAACTGCAATGGGTGAGTGTAGATAGCGCTATATAAAATCCATTAAAGAATATTTTTGTTAACTGTGACGTGCCTGAAGTGACTGGACTGCAACGTGTCGTGACTGATGTGTGTGAATCGACCTTTAAGGTCGATTCACACATCACAGTTCCGTTACAGTCCAGTAACAGTTCAGTCTCAGTTGCATCCGCAATTTCTCAGTCAACAGTCCGTCAGTTGGTTTCAGTCAGTCTTCCGTCTCTAAAATTCACAGTAATTTACAGTCGAAAGTTTTAAATTATAAACCTATATTCTATCAAGTTTTCATTGTCCATCTTGTTGATTGTTACAAACTGTACTCAAAATATAAATACAACCATTTAAACAACAATAACACTATTACCGGTCTGTCAGGCGTCCGAACAATATAAAAGTATCGGTGGAAAGAAATCTGAAATTAACTGACGGATGCTGGTAGAGCGACTGACCCGACTGCAACGGATTAGTGTAGACAGCGCAATAGAAACTCCATTAAAGGATATTTTTGTTAACTGTGACGTGCCTGAAGTGACTGGACTGTGACGTTCCGTAACTGATGTGTGTGAATCGACCTTAAGACGACATTATTGACAACGACACGACACGGCAACCAACGAAAAGAGTAATTTAGTGATGATAATTAGTAATAAAACCATTAAAAATATAAAAAATAAGATATATCGCTCGTTTATATTGGTAAAAGTATTAAATAAACAGTAATAAAGCTGAGAATAATATATTAATGGATTAGAAACTCATTACTCTGGAAAGTTGTATAATGTAATACAAATTCTTATACATGAAACGATTTGATGAACTGGAGCAAAGTCGAGTCGGCAAAGTTGACAAGATTGTAAGTCAGAAGCTAATACCAGGGTGTCTAGTTTATTTCCATTACAAAATTCAAGACTAATTCCAGACTTTTCAAGACTAATTCCAGATTTTTCAAGACTAGTTTGTTCAACAATTAGTGGGTGTTGATACCAAAATGTATCGATTCTCGATCCTTGATACCGGTACCAATTTTTATAGCTTAACCAAATTGTTTAAACAATACTACACCAACCCCTGTCTTTGTCATAAAGTAGTATCATGATAATGTCGTGTTTTCAAGTAAAGAAATAATGCAGCAATAAAAAATTCTAACTAGCAAATTAGTTTTTTTTTCGTGAAATCTTCCGCGTACCGTACGTTTGGACATCATCATTGACTGCAGCGGTTACAGAAACGTGATCGTCGTCGTCCGCGATCATAGCAAAATCATGAACATTTCCCGTAGCCTTGTAGACATCAATGAAATCCTCGTCGTCTCCCGCGGTCTCAGAAACGTCATCGTCATCGTCCGCGATCGCGGCCAAATCATGAACATTTCCCGCGGCCGAGCAGATATCATCGTCGTGTCCCGCGGTCACGGAAACGTCATCTGCCGCGATCACGGAAACGTCATCGTCGTCTCCCGCGGTCACGGAAACGTCATCGTCGTCTCCCGCGGTCACGGAAACGTCATCGTCATCTCCCGCGATCGCGACAAAATCATGAACATTTCCCGCGGCCGAGCAGATATCATCGTCGTGTCCCGCGGTCACGGAAACGTCATCGTCATCTGCCGCGATCACGGAAACGTCATCGTCGTGTCCTGCGGTCACGGAAACGTCGTCGTCATCTCCCGCGGTCACGGAAACGTCATCGTCATCTCCCGCGATCGCGACAAAATCATGAACATTTACCGCGGCCGAGCAGATATCATCGTCGTCTCCCGCGGTCACGGAAACGTCATCGTCGTCTCCCGCGGTCACGGAAAAATCATCGTCGTCTCCCGCGGTCACGGAAACGTAATCGTCGTCGTCCGCGATCGCGACAAAATCATGAACATTTCCCGCGGCCGAGCAGATATCATCATCATTGGGTTTCGCGGTTACGTAAATGCAAGACGACGATCGCGGCAAAATCATGAAAATTCCCGACTTTGAAATCAAATTTAAGACTAAATCCCGACTTTTCAAGACCATTTTGAAATTCAATACTAATTCCCGACTTTCCCGATTTTCCCGACTACTAGACACCCTGTAATACACATCAGAATACAACAGTAACCTCGGAAAGTGCTTCAAGAGCTTTCTGCGCATGCGCAAGCTGAGGTGCCCGTGGGTACAGAACGTCGAGTTATGTCTTAAAATGTAAACTGTAAACAAATGACAATAATGACGGAATGATTTCTCATAAGGCCCATGTTAAATTTTCAAAAGTTTGTACTCATATTATGGCGAAAATAGATTTTTCCTGGCTATACCACTGGTCTAAAACTTATTTTTGACACAGAACTTAGTTATTCCGTAACGTAAATATAAACGTTTTTGTTAGAGCCGATTCCCAGATCGAAGTAACAAGTATTCAAACTTTACTCGTATTATATATAGGATTTTGAAATGATATTATAAGAAATTTTGATGTATTGCAATTCTCTTACAAATTTAATAAATAAACAAGTTTTGGGTTTTGTAAAAAAAATTATATATACATATATATATATAGGCTATGGAAAGAATATTATTAATGATTAATTGAACAGATTAATGAAATTGTATAAATTAGGAAAATGAATACTAGGCCAGCCTTTCTGAGGAATGATTAATAACAAACGTGTATGAACAAAAGTTAACATATTAAGAAACTTCATGCTAAAAAAAATGAATGAATTAAATGAAATATTACAACGTCCAACTGTAGGGGTCGTGTTTTGTTTACAATTTGTTTCTTGTTATTTCAGTCATTTAAAGCCTCATTTAATTAAGTAAAACAATATAATCATTAACAATAACTGGCCTCCTAGTTATATAACCAAATGGTAAAGCACAAATCATGAAAATAACCCTAAAATAATAGAAACAAAATTTCGTCTGCCCCAGCGATCAGTGTTGATGTACATGAACTAGACACGAAAAACAAGCTTCAAAATTTACAATGGGACGAGGAGTCTACTTGTGTTGCTTAGTCTATGCTATCACTTAGATAAAATCCATTGGTGATTTGGCGGGATTTGAACCCGGGACCTCAGGGACCAAAAAGTCCCACGCTCTAACCACTAGACCAGTTTGCTCCCCCACTAGAGGTACTATAGTTGTACTAATCAAATTAAAACTCACACTATATAGGCTAATTTAATATACCTGACATGAGAATGGCCTTTCTCCAGAATGGAACTTGATATGTGTTGAAAGATGCCTCTTCTGAGGAAACCGCTGTCCACACTCAGTACACTCAAACGGTCGATCCCTGGTGTGGACACGCTCATGGCTCACCTGGAAATAACGCAAGAGTACTGTACTTTGTTAATGAATTTTGTAGCAAAATCTAAACTTAAGTATCTTATATACAGATCCTCATAGGGTATTTTTAGATTTGATTTCAAGGTCCCTACTCAAACAGGGTGTCCACCAGGCCGACCAGAAAAAATTCACGAGTAATTCCAGGTAGTTCAGGTCATACTTTTTATACCAAACTTTCCAACACGTTTTATCACGCCAACCCCTGCAATGCTTAGGGCTAACACAGTTTGCTATTTTAGTTAATAAGAAAAGCTTACTCAGTTAAAAGATCAAAATTAATTATATTAGTGATTAATGTAATTTTTCTAGACACAAGAATGCAATTTTTAAATATTACTTTGAAAAAACTAATTCTTAAACCTGCAATTTATGAATAACTTATCAAAAAAAAGTAATTTATCAATATCAAAATTGATCGATTCTCCATACCAAAACCTGAATACCCCCGCCGCAGCAAACCTGCCGACTAAGCGAATTTCCATTTGTCTGAATTGATTTTCAGTTAAATATATTTTAATAACATTAGGTTTAACGAGTACCTAGGTTTGCTGCTACAAGGAAACTAATAAAGTGTGTTTTTGAGTAAAGTATTGATAGCTTAGTACAAAATAAATAAATTTGCCAAGTTTGATCAAAATATATCCATAAACAAGCAAACTACAACATTTGACAATATTCTCCGTAAGAATAACATGGGAATTTTAAATTTACAATTTTTTTAATTTTTTTGGTTAATAATAATCGAACAAAAATACTTTTATATACTAAATTATTAGTTTTTTAAGCTCTTTAAAAAGATCTAAAGGGGAATTGGGAAATTTTTTGTTTTGAGGGTCAAAAGTGAGAAAAACCAATTTTTACCCCATTAAACCCCCCGTAAAGCCCCGTTCCCAATGGTGTTTTTGGCCTCTGGGGACATCAAAATGAAAAAGTAAATCGGTCCCAGGTCTAGGTCTTACCATGCCACCTACGGTAATAGCTACTTCCCTATAGGGAAATTCGCTAAAAATCAATTTAAACCATTTTTAAAATTTTACCAAATTTCTGTTTGGATTACTACACTAACCCCTGTCTTTATGTACTTCCATAATGTATTTTGTATTTTGGAGTTATGGGTTATTTTTCAAGTAGCCTACAGAAAAAATTAATGCAGCAATGAGAACATTCTAACTAGCCAATTTAAGTTTTAAACCCTTCTAAACACATTAAATAAATCATATCAAAGGTAAATTAGGCTATATTACAAAAAAATATCAATAGAAAACTTTATTGCTAGAGGTGTGCCATCCTGAAATTGTCTATCAATCTAAACTCGAGGTAATATCGAGATCATCTACCGCTGTCATAAAGAAATCATCACCTTCTTCCACGATCACTGCAAAATCCTGAGTGTCTTCTTCAGTTACGGAAACGTCACCACTGTCTTCTGTGGTCGTGGCAAAATATCGCTCAACGGTAACAAAAACATCATAACTGTCAACAGTTAAAATCGTATTCTGTGATCGTGGCATAATTATAATCATTTCCAGCGGTTGTGTAACATCGTCATTATCATCCGCGATTATGGCAAAACCATGAAAATATCCCGGGGCTACATTTTAGACGTCATAATCGTCTTCTGCAGTCTCATGAACATTTTCTGCGATCATGGTAAAATGTTAATTATCGGGGTGGTAATGTGGACATAAACATTGTCTTCCACGATCGTGGCCAAATTCTGATCATCCATAACACCAGTGTAGTCATAATTATCATCTCTCGCTGTCGTATGGATGTCATCATCGTCTCCCTCAATTGCAGCAACATTCTGATATTTCCTGCGGTTGTGTAGACATCGTTATCGTCTCCCACGATTGCGGCAAAATATTGACCATCTCCCATGGGCGTGAGGACATCATCATCGTCTCTAGCGGTCACGGAAACGTCATCGTTATCATGAGGGATTGGGGTAAATTGAAAACTCCCGGTAGGAATTCAAAATTCACGCATAATTCCCGGGTCTCCTTATTGGTGGACACTATGTCAAATTTTAAAATGAGATTCTCTGATGTTGGAAGACCCAAAATATGGTATTGGGGAATTTTCGTTTCCGTCTTTTAGAGTAAGTTTACAATCTAGCGAAGGGAATCTTGGGATTTTAAAGTAATCACAGAGGCCAAATAGTGAAAATTGTTTGATCAAAAATATTCGATGTTGGTGCAATTTTGAAATCGGCATTGAATCCAAACTATCAAAATATTGAGGATGGAGAGAATCATAGATGTGTGATTGTGTTTTACTACAATTAAGTAGTTACCAATCCATGAGAAATATTGATTCATATGTGTAATTCTGTAGCCTTCGCCCATACCATCTCCGGCGACTTCCATCACCCAAGAAGAATGATGCGGGTGTGGCCGTGGCTTTTAGGAAACCCTTTTATTTTATTTGGGAAGCCTGACTTAAAAGATTGCCTAACAAACTTTTTGACATGCCAAAGGACCAATCCTAAACAAGCAACGGTATACAGCCTTATAACCTAAGAACACTTCAATAGCAAACCCACGCTGGATGCTTATAACTCTGCTTTCAAAGATCTGACAGACAATATTAAAACCAAGAGCTTCAGAGTGCTAATCTGCTCCCCAATGGACCGAGATCTTGTGCAGATTGAGCATTTTGCCATGAAGATAAGCGAGTTTCATGATATCACCGGTTTACTGGTCATAGTTGTCACCAACATGCAACCAGGAGCTCAGCGTGTTCTCCATCATGGACTCTCCCATCCCCAATTCACCCTCAAACTTCGACAAGAATTACAAAAAGTATCACAATCAAGAGAAATGATTTCACAACAACAATTTCAACTTCAGCTACAATGCTACAATCACCACCTAGTAGCCCTCAACAGCAGTCATCACCAGATCAGCATCCCTCAACACAACAACATCCCTCTGCAATAGAAGTTCCTGATGTTGGCTCCACAGGCTACCGAACGGTTCCTGGTCATCTCAACTACAATGAGGTGTTGAAGAGGAAACCATCAGTGTCAAGTGCCAAAAAGCAGAGTAAATGTGTTGTGTCAAGTGGTGAGAGCAATCCAGTGATAGATGTAGATTCCTCCTTATATAATAGCTTACATTTGTCTTTAAACTAAGATATCCTGACCAAATGCCAAAAAAAAGACCAAATGCCTGCTAAACTAGTTCTAGACAAATTTTACTATCTCAACAGTAAAGCTCAGAGAAATATTAGCTCAGATTCATAAAAAACAGTGATACTTACAGTAAATTTAATTTAGTAATGCACTACAATTATTGTCAAGGGTTAAATTCTACTAAAATATCAGAGCTCAATTTATTTTTATCACAGTCCAAATTAAATATTAAAGTCATGTCATTGAATGAACTTTGGTTGGATAATGATTCTATTTCTTTACTCAACACAATAGATAATTTTAGAAGGGCCGACTCGTATGTCAGAAATAGTGGTCTAAGGGGTGGTTCAGGTATATTAGTTGATAATAATTGTAAATACTTAACTGTACAGGAGTTTTCTTATTTAAATGAAGATTTTATTTTTGAATGTTCCGCTATCGAACTTGTAGATTTCAATTCAGTATTTTTTTCCATTTATACAGTGCCAAATTATAATTCAAGTAAATTGTTTTTGGACAAACTTGAAAAGTTACTTGTTAGTTTACAAAAAAAAACCAAAAGGAAAAATGTTTTTATAACAGGGGATTTTAATATAAACATTTTAAAAGATGATGCAATCACAAGTAGGTTTAAGGAAATTGTCGAATGTAATGGCTTCTGTTTGCAGTTTAATGAGCCAACTAGAATAACTGCCAATTCATTTACTTGTATAGATAACATGATTACAAAAAAAATGTATAAAGTAGACCACAAATTGAATAATGATTTAGGTTTATCTGACCATAACGCCATATTCCTGAGCCTCCCTGGGCAATATAAGAATATATTGACTACTGGTAATAATAATACAAGTTCATATACCAAAAGAATAATTTCAAATAGAAAAATTGATGAATTTTGTACATATTTAAACCAAAATATTAATTTTACATTTGATCCAGTCCTGAACCCAAATGAAAACTTTAGTAACTTTTTAAGTGATTTTCTTTTGACTTTTAATTCTATATTTCCTCCAAAGTTTCTTAAAAATAATAGTAATAATTCTAAAACCAAGTCTTTCTCTGTAAACTGGATTACTCAAGGTATACAAATTTCAAGTAAAACAAAACGACAATTGCACATGCAAGCCAAGCTCAGTAATGACCAACAGTTTATTACATATGTTAAGCATTATAAAAACATATTTAACAAAGTTGTAAAAAAAGCAAAATTACTAGCGAATAGCAGTTTTATAAAAACATCAGAAAACAAAACTAAGGCAGCTTGGCAAATTGTAAATCAAGAGCTTGGAATACAAACCAAAAACCAAAAGAAAGAATAGTTTTGAAAGATACAAATGGTTATGAGCTTGGTAATCCTGGAAGTATTGATAAAGTTTTTAACAATTTTTTTTCGAATACAGTAAGTAACTTAAATGTTCAAAAGGCTACTGTCAATGGAGTCCATGCTTCAGTGAAACATATCTGTAATGATAATGGGATATCCTTGTGCAGCCTCAGGCTAACTAATGTGGAGGAAATCAAAAAGATTGTTCTGTCACTAAAAGACAAATCATCCGTTGGCTGGGATGAGATCCCAATTAAATTGATAAAAGCCACTGTTAATGTCATTGCCGAACCTTTATCTCAAATTATTAACCAGTGTTTAATACATGGAATTTTTCCGGATAAACTAAAACTTTCCCAAATCTCACCAATATTTAAAAAGAGCCTTAAATCGGATATTAACAATTACCGTCCAATTTCTGTATTGAGTAATTTTTCTAAAATATTTGAAAAGGTCATAAATTTGAGATTGGTTAGTTATTTTGAAAGCAATCATCTATTTTATAACAAACAATTTGGATTCAGGAAAAATTTAAGCAAGGGTTATGCACTAACACAGTTTATAAATGAGGTTACCCAGGCTTTGTACGGGTCTCAGGCTACAGCTGGTGTTTTCTGTGACCTGTCCAAAGCTTTTGACTGTGTTGATCACTCAGTCCTTCAGCTCAAGCTGAGTGATTATGGTATTGGGGAAGTTGTCACTCTCTATTGAGTTCTTACCTTTCTAATAGAAAACAAAGAACTGTAATAACACTGGATAAGATCAAGTACTATTCGCCATGGGAAAACCTATTGGCAGGTGTGCCCCAAGGTTCAATCTTAGGTCCTCTATTCTTTCTAATTTACATTAATGACCTCCCTAAAGCTATTAATCAGGAACTAATTCTTTTTGCAGATGATACAACAGCCTTGATAAAAAATAATAGTACTTCTGAAATGCTATCTTCTCTTGAAAATGTGGTTCATGACATGGAGGGTTGGTTCTTGAACAATGGATTAAAACTTAATCTTGAAAAAACGCAAACAATAAAATTTTCCGTCAGAAATAATGGTAATAAAATTGAATCCCTTAAATTGGCAACTTCTCATAAATTTCTAGGTGTTTAAATAGATGAATCACTAAAATGGGATGTACATCTGAATCAATTAAAAAGTAAACAGATCCATGTCAATTGTATTTCTGCACTTAAGGGACTGTGTTCCTAAAGAAACTCTGAAAATGGTTTATCATGCTTATGTAGAATCAGTATTGAGGTATGGTATAATCTTATGGGGTCAGGCTACCGGAGTCAAATCAATATTCAGGCTACAAAAACGCATTATCCGTATTATGACCTGCTCTCATCCACGTAGTTCATGCAAAAACCTTTTACGAAATTTAAAAATCCACACCCTAACAGGACCGTACATTTTGGAATCACTAAACTACATTCATTCAGCTAAAAACAACTTCCCAGAATCAATTCAAATCAACCATAGATATAATACTCGAAATGAAAACATTTTTAGATTTCCAAGGCACCATTTGACCCTTTATGAAAAAAGTCCACTATATGCTGGGCTGAGGCTGTAAAATGTGCTGCATGCAAACTATAAATTGTTAAATGAAAATAATTTTAAAGATAAAATAGGTGAACTCTTAATTGACAGAGCCTTTTACTTAATTGCACATTTTCACAATACCCCTTTAGTTTAGAATAGTTTATCAGTTTTATCATTCAATTTTGTTAATTTATATTATTATCTTGATTACTATTTTATTTTTTAGCGAATTTCCCTATAGGGAAGTAGCTATTACCGTAGGTCTCATGGTAAGACCTAAGCCCGGGACCGATTTACTTTTTCATTTTGATGTCCCCAGAGGCCAAAAACACCATTCGTTCAAATTTTTATATATCTATCTATATATATATATATATATATATATATATGTGTCCATCCGCACGATAACTTGAGTAATTTTTGTCCGATTTTGATATAATTTGGTTTGAAGGTGTAAGGCGGGATAAACTTGAATGAGTTCGTGAACCAGCATGATCGGACTATGGGAACGGGGGTTTATGGGGGGTTTTATGGGGTAAAAATAGGTTTTTCCCATTTTTGACCCTAAAAACACAAAATTTCACAATTTGTTTCTAAACCATTTTGTAGAGCTTAAAAAAACAAATAATTTAGTATATTGAAGCGTTATTATGCGCCTAATTGTTAAGGAGAAAATTCAAAATAATTGTAATTTTAAAATTCCCATGTTATTCTTATGGAGAATAAGTCAACTGTTGTAGTTTGCTTGTTTATGAGCATATTTTGATCAAATTTGGAAAATACATTAATTTCTTACTAAACCACAGTACCTTTTAATATTTTACATTAAAAAAAACTTGTTTACCCTCCCTGTTGCAGCAAACCTAAGTACTCATTAAACTAATTCTGTTAAAATAGGGAATAAATGTGATATTTTTAAGGAGACATTTTAGTTTAAATCCAATCAGGCAGATGGAAATTCGCTAAGTCTGCAGGTTTGCTGCGGCGGGGGTATTATATCCTTATAATTGTAACTCTGACAATGCACCTATTCTGTATGTAACACATGTATAGAATGTTATGTGCAAATAAAATATGATTATGTCTATGGATTAGATGAGGATATAGGGTTATGCAACACTCACCAGATGATGTTTAAGTGTGAAGCTCTTGTTGCACTCGTTGCACTTGTAAGGGCGTTCGGCTGTATGTAGCAGCAGATGAGTGCTGAGACAATGCTTTAGTGCAAAGCTCTTGTTGCACTCAGGACATACATATGGCCTTTCACCAGTGTGTACCTGGGACAAACAGCAGTCTACAATGTTACCACTCAATTTGAAACAAGGAATTTTTGGTAAATTTTGAGCATTTAAGTAATTAGATTATTTGGAAAACATTAATTGAAGACTCTTTTCGGGTTTGATTAATCCATGAATATGAGATTAACAAAACATGTCGGTTGGTCGTTCCAAGAGGTTGTCACCGATCTTTAACAGGACGTCGTGAAAGAGAGCGGCAAGTTCAGGTACAAAAGTAACCACCTCGGCCACCTCAGAACGTAAGGTATGAAGGTTCTGCTGCTTTTAACATTTCTTCTGATGACGATTTCTTGAACTTGGGCCCTTTAAATTAAATATAAAGTCAAAGTTAATTTAATGGTGGCTTCTGTACATCCGTGAATTTGCGGGTAGATCCTCTTGTTAATTTATAGTTAACTAGTTATTTATAACTAAAATAGATCAATAAAATGATTACTCACTACCCGCATGTGAGTGAGCAAATGATGCTTCATCAAGAATGTTTTGCCACACTCCTCACAGGTGTGAGGTCTCTGTTTAGGCAGAGTTATGTTGAGTTTGTTGTCCACAGGAGATGTAGCTGAACCTACACTCACTGTCGTCTGTTGGTTACCAGGATTGGTCGTGTTGGTACCTGTCGTGCTTTGTCCACTTGTGTTAATGTTGGCCGAAGACACACTGATGTTACCAGTGCTGAAGAAATAGAGAAATATCAAAAGAACATGAGAAATTTATATCAAGCTTCGGTTTACTACAATTATAAAGATAGTCTTATGATGAATAAGCGCCCCGTTTCATAAAAGGTGACAGGAATGACAATTCCGACAGGTGACAATTTAAAAATTGCAAATTGTCACATGTTTTATTTATCTTTTAATAAAATTGACAATTGTCACGAAAAACATGTCATGAATTAGCTACATTTACATTTAATGGTTGTTTATTGTTGTTGTTCAGGATAACCCAACATACTCCAGTGTGAGATGTCTGATGACAAGATAACAATGTTTTAAAGCTAATAAAAGAGAATAAAGACATCCTTTTTGGAAAAATTTTGTGGGAAAGGATTGTGGATGTTTATCCTTTGTTTGAAACCCCTTTTTAATCTAATTACCTCTTCACCAACATCACTGCCTTAGAGTCACTATCATTACTTCTACTATCACTTGAACTCATAACTTATTGAGAATTTGATAAAGAAAGTTAAAATTGTCTCTAATAAATTTCCATCAGTAATGGTGGAATGTCCTGAAATTCTCACAAAATTGGACTTTCACATACCTCAAGGAACTCGACCGCAGCATCTTTTCACCAGACAGCATTACCCGACTTCATACCTGTACCACAGTACGATTCCTCTTTCGATGCAATTGGGAAATGCAGCACAAGTGGATTTAGTCAATAAAGAGTCAAAGAGATTTAGGCGTCCCCATCTTAATGATTGATAATTAATATTGATAATTGGTCTAAGAACACAAAAAGTGAGCCAAGCAGAGTTCAAGAAAAAATTTAATGTGTTTGTACAAAGTTATAATCCTGATCAGTGAAAAGCTAAGCCAGAATTTCCGGTACAAGGTGCTTCTCTCTGTATATTCCTTCATCTCGCCTCTTGTAAATTACCCTCAGCAAACCCCTTTTTTCACCTGTTCTTAACCTTAATGATTTAGTTTTGTTGTTCTGCACAGCTTTGTGTTGTTATAGATTTACTCTTGTTATGTATGTTGAATTTTGTACTTTTATTATTTACTAGTGAACCTGTGCGGCTCAATGCCCCGCAAAATTACATATGAATTTAGAAAACAAATTCATCGTGTTATATATTGGCTCAACGTAAAAAATTAAATACAGTAATAATAAAGCCTTAGAAGAGAAGCAGTCCAGCAATTTTCTAGCTGTATGTGTATTTTATTTAGTGAATTAATAAGTGCTAAAGTATGTTATAGGGTAGTTATTTAAAATTTTTTTTTAAACACATTTAACAAAACTTTTTATCATATCAAACCAATAGGCCTATGTAGCATATTTTGAGGGTCATAAAATGCTGCTTGAAGAAAACACTTTAAAAAATAAACACTAAAAAAACAATATTTTAACCACAAAAGCACTTCCATATGAATACTACGATTTTATTCTTGAAGTTACCTCCAGGAAGATTACCCTCGTCAAAATTTCCCATAGTGAATGTGTAACCTATTAAAAGATGTAGCCTTACTTAAAACAACATATAATATAGTTGCTCATGACTGAAATTGGTCTGGGTAAGAACAATGCTCTTTAATTAAAGTGCTTAAGTTACTTGGCTTGGTGCTTTCATAACTGCAAACTCAAAATACACCCACAAGTAAAAAAGAATCAAGTTATTGGTTGTGTAACCTATTTTTAGCCCAGTCAATAAATTTTTTTTATCGCAACTAAATGGTAAAAAGCTGGATTTTTTATATGTGATAGAACCACATGAGAGGTGTATTTTCCCAAAAGTCCCCACTTCTACCCCTTGAGCTTTCCCCCCCCACCCCACTCCAAACTAAGAAATTGCAGTGTTTTACTTAATTGATCATAACTCGAATGCTATGTAAGCTATCGAGCTGCAATTTGTTTTGTTTTTTTTCTGGTTAGTTTTCCTACAACTTTTGTATTTACAACATTTTTCTAAAACCAATACTTAGGGAGATATAAAATTTAAACTTCGTTAAAAGCTTTGTTTCAGAGTGCAAAATTTTGTTTTTCTCTATGTTTACTTTTAAATAGAAATAATTCGCAAATATGGTTCGAACAAAAGTTTTAGTACTGTGAGGTACCAAATTTTAAGGGGGGTAAAAAAACGTATTGATAGTCAACAAACACCATAACTTACCCGATTTTTACCCACAACATCCTACTCCTAGGCCTATGTGTTGGCCATAGCTTGGGCTATGGGCCAAAGAATGTAGGCCTACTTTTAATAACAGTGAAGTACACAAACACACCCACAACGATATATTTATTCATAATAGCACTCCGTTTCACATAATAAAGTTAAACCGACCGATTTTACAAGTATTTATCACCGACCACGACAACATAACCTTAAGCTGGTGTTTGTTGACCAACGACAGACGACAACTAGACCGGCTCAACAGGCGAATCCCCGATCAGCTGTTGGCTAGTTTCCGAAATCGCCACCGCAGCGCTTGAGCCGCGGCCGAGGAAATCGGGATTTGAGCCGGACAAGTTTTTATTCGCTGTTCAACCGTCGACTTGTTCACGAGGAGCTCTTGCGAAATTACGATCACGCCATACGATTCTACGTTATTGATTCAGGTTAGCTAACTTCGTTGTTAGACTTTCTAACGTTCATTTTATTTTCGTTTTATTTTAACATACGTATACTCGTCTGCCACTTATTTTCACCCGTTTTAAGTTCGATTATATTTGTCGACCCGCCAGTTCCTGCCGGTCAGTGACTAGCGGAGGATATCTTTCGTTCCGTTTAAATTAATTGTCCACGAAATTACATTTGTTTCATCCGCTTAACGAATTATTACTTAAATTATTTTAATCGATTCGACGTTTTAATACCCCGAGACTTGTCGTCTAAGTTCTAAACCCCGTCTTTGGCGGGTGAAAGAACCAAGTCTTGGGAGCAGGCTGATTTGAACAATCAGCTACGTAAATTAATGTTTATTTTAAATCATCTCACGTCAAATTATCCGTCCAATTATATTAATTAGGCCCCAACGACTCTGTAGGAATTGCTTTTACATTATATTCGATTTTATATTATTTACCTAGGCCTTTAGTTAATTATTTTAAAGTTTATTATGAGTAATTGAATCACACTGGCTTAAGATTGAATACTCGTCGGCCCTACAGAGTCATTCAAAAGTTAGGCAAAATTTCTAAAACACTATTACGAAGGCTGGGATGATATAGCTCCCACTGAGCGTCTGCAGAATTTCCTGAGCGCTTCTAGAGCTCTGAGCCTTCGATAAAATTTAAATAAATTGATCAGTCAAAGCCGTGACAACTTCGTATTGACCCCTGGATTTTTCTCGGCTCCTTCTGAGCACTCTGGGGAAGAAATTTGAGTGTGGCCAGTTCTAGGGGTAGGCCTAGCCTGACTTAGGTGAATATTAGTTTATTCCCCCCTTAGAATTTTGCGTCACAGTACATCTTTCAAGGTTTACAATAGGGATGGACGAGATTGGATTTTTAGTTCGAGACGAGACGAGACGAGATTTTTTATTTCTCATAAAATTTCGAGACGAGATCGAGACGGGATTTCCCTTCTCATACACAACGGGAAATACACGTTCAAAATTTTTACCTGATTTTGTAACATTGTTAGATGACTGTTTAAATACAAAAATAATGATAATAGGCAAGAATATTTACAATATTTTATTAAAAAACATCAGTATAACATTTTTTTATTAATCACGCCTAACTTATTAAAAATGCCTACGATTAGAAAACATAGTGATATCAGTTAGGATAGAGTTCAACTTATCCTAAAATAAAATAAATCATCAAATAAAAGCAATATTAATTTTTATAAAATAGTTACTTGTTTTGACTTTTTATAGTAATAAAACATTCCTCACACTGCTTACACTTAACAAAACTTCTCAAATGTTATTAAAGTAATACGAGGTGTTAGCCCGTCCTACGTACGGGAATTCAGTAGTCATAAAACCGTTTACAATTCAGATCAGCTAATTTACACATATAAAGACAAAGTTTCATGCAGTTTTAATGTGAAAAATCCTCTCGTAAACAAATTTTGTGTGACCAAATATGTTTTTATTTCATCATAGGCCTATACGATATGAATTTTAAATCCGATAATTTTACAATAAAACAGCAGTTCTGCAATTTTTACGATGTGAAAAGCGTTGAAGTGAGATTTGCAACAGATTCGCACAGACGCAATCTGATTATAAGTAGCCTACAGTAGAGCGAGTAATAGTCAATTGAGATGTGTATAGACCTAGTCAACGATACCACCTTCCATAGCATACCTGCCTCTTCCATAATTATTATCACCACAATAACTGGAAATTGTGTATAGTAACTTAGTTGTAGTAGGTCTGAATAGAAACAACCTAAAATAAAACGATAATATCCAATAAAATTCACAGTACACATAATTTAACTTTGGTGTCCTAACATCAAAACTAATCGTCACACCTATCCTTTATATCAATTTCACTGCATTAATTGCAAGCGTGAACAAAGAAAAGTAAAAACAATAACAGTTTGTTTTGAAACAGCTGTTTGGTTCAAATAACATTCATTTCAAAAAAAAGAACTGGTCACATGTAGCAGGAATATAAAAAGTAAACACGCTAGTAAAGCTAATGACGTAATTTTCAATGTTTATTATCCATACCGTTATCAGTTCTATCCTTGATAATTACCCACCCTCATTGAATAAATGTACATCGTAATTTCCCATATTAGTTAATTTAAACTACAATATATTCATAGTTGAAATAAAAGTGATATTTTCACGTTAGGGGGCGCTGATATAGGCGCCCCCAACTGAACACGATTTCATAAAAGGATGGTTTGTCTAACTGCAGTATCCTAGGTCAATGTTGACGTTGTGTTCAGTCTATGTCATCCATCTGTTTATCTTTGTAAAAAACCCGGCTGAGGTTGTGGTGGTAATTTAAAATCGTGATTCCGGATTATTCTTGATCTTCTTTTTA